CTTAATTTGCTTAAGCGCTTTGACTGTTCACAGTCGAACAAGAACATAATAACGCCGTTGCTTTCCTCGACATCAGGATAAAAAGGGTTTATCAATAATTCTTTGTTGCTTTTCTTTTTCCGCAAGAAACAAAACTGCAACCGCTTCTTAGAAAAATATTGTCATCAACTTGCGCAGAGGAGCGAATTCTGATTGCCACAGTCTGTCGACCTGTCGAGCTGGAGCCCGAATCGAAAATCTCTCACCTATACATAAAAAATAATGGCTATGAGAGCAGGTTTCTCAAGCATAATCTTTTTTTATTCAAGTGATGATCTCCAATACCCATCTAAACATAACTGCAACTTCTTATCTTTACGTTTCAGTCTAAATCTGTTTCCATCTCTCCGTCGCTTTCTAAGTGAGGTTGATTTCAAGATCGTCTTTAAGAAAGGCATCATTTTACGTGTATAACAAACATCTACAACATAGGATATGCTTAAAACCGGACTGTTTACCAAATGGATAGAAAACGTTTGCAAAAAATTTACATCCGGATGACAGAAAGGCCTGTCTAAAAGAGCACATGACTGCATTTGAGCTTGGAAATGAAGAACACTCGGATTTGCGATAGACACTGATGATGGATTGCATCGTATTAGCACCAAGGATGTGAAGATCTTAGATCGCGGCAACTCCAACGCTAGTCTCATGAGAACGAAATCGGACATCATTCAAACTTTTGGTGCAGTTTCTGTTAATGTCGAATTGAGCTTCAAAGATATATCCTATGATTGGAATCTCTTTCCAAATAATTTCATTTCTACTATTTGATCTCTGTGTATTTTCATTTCCACTTACTTTTTTTTTACTATTTCATAATTTTACCTTTGCATTTCTTACTGTTCGCTGACTAAGTTTGTAAGCAACCAGCCTGTAAATAATGTTCAAGGTTGAAAGGGCGCCGACTTGTATTTTTTGCGCGACCTCAACGGAGATTGAGGATCCTATTGTTGGATATGTTCGTATATCCAGTAGCTATTTACTTATTTATTGAATTTAGAGTGAACAGGTAGATTATAAAAAATTTTATGCAAAATTTTAGTTGTCCTTTTATGAATTTTGTGATTTACGAAAGTTAACCATTTTCGAAAATTTTTACTACTTCAAGCAATGTATTCAAATGAGACTTTGAGTTCTATTTTAAACTGTTCTGTATCTATAAGCGTTGGCTGTATCGATTCCTTATGTTTTGGAATATCTTGAGTTTAACACACTGCTTCAAATCCCTAATTTCATACGATGGGACGTTTTCAATAATTTCAGTTTTTTACAAATAGAAGATAGTTTTTTACGTGAACTTTCCTATCAAGTAGCAAAACCTTAAAAACGTATCTTTCTTATTCAGGCTCAGCGTGTTTCATCGATCTCCGATCGAGTGTACATTTTCGCCAATTTTTGGGTAGAAGCCATCCTGGGTCACCGTATTAACCGAGGAGGCTGGTCGAGCACTTCATAATACAAGTGCCATTGTGCGACGTTTATTGAAATAATCACAGCACTGACAGATGAACTGAGTGTCGATAATTTATCAGGCGCAAAAGTATAGCCAAAGATCTCTTTCGTCGTCCCGTAACTGACGTAAAGTAAATTTGATCCACTTCGTTTCGTTTCTGCTCGTGTGTAACTCCAGAGTTGTAAATTTGCATGGTGATATCAGCGGTTCCGATCCTAAATACATATTTGAAATATTTTTTCATTATTTCACAAAACAATAGTCATGCATGCACAATACACACAGCAAAGCGTCGTTCATTTCAGTTTTGCAACAATTATTAAATGCCATTTGAGGAACAAGTCAGAGGTGGATTAGCGTTTGGACAGAAATTGTTCTTTTCACTATGTAGTGGACGAAACTACACGGCACAAGGCAGGCGGTGATGAGTCTGGCTTTTAAATTTTTCTGTTCTTAGCGAATCGTTGAAAACAGTATTCGTTTGAACGGTCCTGAGGCAATACTCAACACTGACAACTCCAAAATGACTACGAGGAGTACCTAAGAATAACTTGCCTTTCAATAACTCATAACTCTAACAAAGGCGTACAACGACTTTCCTCCCAAAACCGCTGTCGCCGTTAGATCGAATTACAAACGTGTGTAGTCTTCTACAAGGAGATCGCAAATCTAATTCAATGTTCGCCAAGCTGAATTCCTGATCATCGTTCTTCATTATGATGATGCAAAACAGCCTTTATTAAGGTACAAAAATTTCACTGTTGTGCATATAACCGTTTGCGTGATCCGTCGGCAGAAAGCCGCTAAGCTAGGATGCTAAGATGAGTGCAATTATACAAGCTTATTTCAATGACAGCTGAAACCAGTAGATACATTATCGCGGAAACTTCGGTACTGATGTCTGCGATTCGATGGCTAGCATATCGCGTGGCACAAGAATTATGACTGTCGAGTGTACATAGTTATTTTCTTCATCAAAGTAGCAGGTATTTGATCAAATAAATGTCGAAAACTCGAACGAACTTATTACGGACAAAAATCCTGGAAAACCAGATTTCACACCTCTTTGCGTCAAAGACACGCGTTCCCCCACCATCATTCCAACAGCAGGAAGAAAGTACACTCCTGGTCTTCACAAGCGAAGTTCAACGTGCCGTGCAGCAAATGAAGGGAGAAAGAGCCCAAAGGAGAGACGTTCTAACAACTGAAGCGATTAGGACATGTGTTCAAACGCTGTAGAGGGCTCTAGCTTAGAGAGTGAGCTGCTACTGGGGACGTAAAGGATCCCTTCAGGCTGGAAACAGTCAGGATTAATCATATTGTTCAACAATGGCGAAGAAGAGGAACCGTGAAAGCATCGCCCAATGTGGCTGCTCTCCTAAGTGTGTTCATTAAATTATTAATGACAGGCTGTCAGCAAGTCTGCCGAACAGCAACCAAGAGAAGAGGCAGGATTCTAAAGAGATATAGAATAACGGATAACTTATTTTTTTAAGTCAGCTCCTCCAGCGCGTGAGGGAACTCCAGCCCAGCTTCTGCATAGCTTTTGTAGAATAATCAGACCAATTCTATTCAGTACAGCGCAGTGTACTAGCAGAACAAGGCATGACGCCCGTTACATCAGCCTACTATAGGAACCAAACTCTTACTTCTCCACAGGCATTACGCCTCAGACCCTCCTCCGGATTTCCGGGAGTGAAACAAAGGGTTACCATCTCCACCAGCCGTTCACTGCTCTTTGGAAATAGTTTTCCGCAGGATCAGTTGGAATGGTAGGATTAACATTAATTATGAATTGCTCAGTCACGTAAAGCTAATGGCGTAGTGTTATTTGCGGAAAATGCCAGTCAGCAAGAATAAATTCCTCAAGACCTAAAAAAAGAGAGCAATTGTCAAATTGTCAATCAATCGGTGAAAGACAAAGCTACTGAGATCCAGTGCCCTGCCGAAAACCCAAGAAATATGAACCGGTGAAAGGATTAAAAAAGTGGTATCTGAGGCATTAAGTTAACATTCGGTATGGACTATGTGCCGCTAAAACATGACAGTCGTAGATATGGACTCAATCATGCCCTCGCTACAGTTCCAAGCCACTCTTTACCGAATCTTTCACTTTGTGCATGGGAGCTAGCAGTGATGTTGGAGTGAAGATGATGCAACTGGTTCCTCGTGCTGTCAATCATGGAATCAGAAGACCCATCACCTTCAAATCATCTACGACACGGTATCGGTATGAGCCTTAGAAGTTATTTTCGAAGAAGGGATGATCACATTTTTTCTGAACAATTTGGTTTTGACCATACACCACCGCAACTCACTGCTTATTTGATACATAGCAGCTAAATGGCCGTTAGTTCTCTGCATTTTTTTCTATTTTTTCTCTCCATATTTCTTTGGCCTAGTGAGACCATTGTATAGGCTATTTACAGTCTTTAGTCCCTTCGCATTACATGGTCTGTGGATCAGGACTACTTCTGCCAAAGACCTCTCGAAAGCGTTTGCTGCAGTCGCAATTGCATTTTTGTCCACTGCTTCAATGAACGTACATATTCTGATTAATAGATTCAGGCAAACCAACAATATGCGCAGATGTTAAATATGATGAGTCAGTCGGCGTTCTTGTCCATGTCCAATAACCTGCTAAATGCCTGATATGTTTTTGGATGCCCATTTCACTTCAGTACTTCATCTTTGGAGAAGTTTTGCTAAAGACTGTTTTTATCAAGCACAAGTAATGCCAAGAAGAGAGACTGTGTGCCAGAAATGCCGAAAGCAGATTTGTCCACAATGACGAGTGTGAGGCGACTAATGGTCAAGACCAAGTCATTATAAGATGACGTGAAACACAAAAAATGGAGAAAATGATATGCTTCAAAAATTTGGTATTAAGCTTGAAGAATCTTAGCTGATAACTCGTTTTGATTTTGAATTTCCTTTCGCCATTTTTCCACATACTGGACCGCATTTGTATTTGGCATTTGTCGCGTCTCAAAATCCACATTAAATCACACAGTGCGTTGTGCCTAGTTTTGTAGAGCGTTCGAAATTCGCAATAAACTGAAGTTTAGCGCCTGACTACGAAATGAACGCTGAGATGAAACAACCTGGATCCTGATCTGCTATGACAGTTGAACAAATGTCAAAAGTCAATGAAGATCATCCGCCTATCCTACCGAGTGGTTTCTACAAGGCTCTCTGCCGGTGGCAACGTTTCGAAATTCCGTCGCTCACATGTTGCATCTGAAAAACTGTACCCCCAGCTACAGTATCCATCTTACTTGAGCTTATTGCAATGCTGACATGTTTCGTTTCCGCTCTGTTGTGACCAGGTGGGATTTTCTTTTCATTGACCACACTCTGTGCCCGTCGTTTTCATGGAAACCCAGAGAGAAAACTACGAAATTCATATCTTTTGTATCGTTTTCTCTTTAAAATGATGATGATTTTGCACCATGTCGAAGTTGTGAAACGACGACGAAAGAAAAACATTTGGAAATGAATGGAAATGAGCACCACTGACGCCAGTAAGATCACATAGAACTGTAAAAACAGTACAAAACTATTTAACGTCTTTCACTCCACGAAAAGAGGATGACATGCACAGTGTCGTACTTTTCTTCCCTTTTCATATAGCTGAGCCACAGTTTTGTACTGACGAAAAAAATAGGCACATATCCTGGTGAAACACGAACTGTTACATCATCCATAACTTGATATTATGGCTTGATTTGACAAATGGCGAATGTCATTTTCCTTCCGAAGGAACGATTAAATCAATATATGGGTCTGAGAGGCGTTGTTTCGTCAGATGTTCCCTCTTCACATTCTTAGTGACTCGTAAGATGTTACTTTTCTCCCCAACAAATTTTCTGATAGCTTCCATTATGGCTTGTTGATTTTTCCGTTTATATTGCTTATGATTCGTCATCTTTCTTTCAGAGGGTAAATGACATTGTGAGGAGACTTCTTCAAGCTATTGAGCTGGATTAATAAGACGGTCTTTTTCGACTTATCTTCCTACGGTCAGACGTCTGTCCTGTAGACAGATTTGCAAATATGGCACAAGGAACTCTGTCAACCTATGATTATTATTGCGTCGTTAGCTGACAGCCTTATGGATGACGACAAGTGTCCATAACTAAGGAAAACACTCTTTGCCTCACGTCGTCCTTGCATGTGATTCCTTGTCTTGATCGATAGTCGCTTTCGCAAACAGGAACATCGAAATGAAACTGAATTTATGAAGAACTTTGAGTAACTTACTAATCTGCTCGATAACCTGACAGCGATGTCTTTGGAGGCATGGGCATGAGTAATTATGAGAAATGCAAAGGGCTGCCAGAAAATTAGGACTATGGGTGCTTAGAAGCTGTACTTAACGAAAACGGTGATCATATTATTAGCAAATGCACGCCCTTGACATATATGCAGAATCAAACATATAAGCAGAATCAAATATATGCAGTCCAAGATTACATATGCCACCATTTGAATGCACTAGAATATCAATG